AAATTCCAATGCAAGCCATTTCACCGAAAGTAATTGCTACACTAGGCAGTTAATTTGGCTGAATGATACAATATCTGAACATAAAATAAAATCTTCCGTTGGGAGCCATGGAAGAAGCAGTGCATAGTTGGGTATGCTACTCAGCTTGTCTCTAGGAAAATAAAGTTATAAACAAATTTATTACAGTGAAAGATTATGATTACACGATTTATAATAGTGTTTGCTTTCATGACAAAGGAATGTAACATAGACTTGATGGTGGTGTATGATGGTGGTCCACACAGGGAGCCCATGTTGCTGTGGCAACATACATATTTACATGTGTGTTTTAAGGATTGGGATGAATACACACTCCAACATTCTTTCCACAAAATGATTGGCCAGGAATCTCCCCTGCTCTCATGCTTTCCATCACTGTGTGTAGAAAGGATTTTCAGGTTGACAACCAATCTGTGTAAACTGCATTATAAGTAGCATCTATTTTGGACTCAAATACAATCATAGAATCATAGCGTTGTGCAGTACAGAAACAGGCCCTTTGGTCCAACTCATCCATGCTGACTATGTATCTTAAATTAATATAGTCCCATTTGCCAGCATTTGGACCATATCCTTTTAAATCCTTCCTATTCATGTACCCATCTTGGGGTGAGATTCAAATCTGGAGCTTCCAGTTCTGAGGCAATGACACTACACATTGCATTGGCTAATATATCCTCCTAGATTTTCTTACAGAACTCTAAAATGCCATCATTTAGCTTCGAACATTGGTCAGTTAGGAGGGAACTTGCACATTCCATGAATGAAAATTTGATATATGGGCATTGTATACATATTTATTTCTGTGAGTTTATGTTCCAAATTATTCCTGGTCAGGACACAAACTGTTGAAATCCCTAATACAGCGATAATTCCATTTCCAGATCAATTATGTTACTCTGACTCAGACAGCCCCACTGTGAGAAAACAGAATGCCTGGAAAAACAATTTTCGAACTGTCAGTTTATTTCATTGCTGATGGAACTCCCTTATAATAATGCAGGAACATCTTGGCACAAAAATCATTATCGATTTACAGCTTAAGTTGTTCCAGAATTCTTACTTACTATGAAATTATTTTGTCTCTGATTGGCTGTTCTTGCTGTATTCATATACATACAGTTTGATAATTATCAATAGTCTAACAGGAAAAATCATTGGTACAATATCAATGATCATCTATTCCTTCCACTCCTATGAAAAGCTAACAGCTTCTGAGGAGGCCTAATGTAAAAAAGTGGTCCCTTCTTATTTAGAAGAAAAAAAATTTTCAGGAAACAATAGTTTTGCATTTAAATGGCACATCATCACAGCTTCAGTAAGTTTCCATGTGTTTTAAAAACCAGTTGACTGTGTTTGTTAAAATATTGAAATGAATGGAGTGTTGTTCTTGCAATTTGCAGCAATGATCGAAGCAATAAGGTCTTTTACTGTTCATGTTACAGTATGTGTTAGATGGTGAGAAATCTGGGATTTGCACTTTGGCTAGCATTGCACAGTTTCTTCATGAAGTCTTTGCAGTGATCATGAGGATCAATGGCGTGGCATGTCTAACTCCATTTGTTCCAGATCATAAGCTCTTACTTTGCTCAAAACCAAGAATCAAGAACTTTCTAAAAATTCATTCATGGCACGTGGATGTCGCTGGCTAAATCAGTATTTATTGCCCATTCCTAAAAGTCAACCACATTGCTGTCGGTCCAGAGTCACATGTAGGCCATAGTAGGTAAGGATGACAGTTTCCTTCCCTAAAGGACATTAGTGAACCAGATGGGTTTTTCCAAAAATTGACAAGAGTTTCATCATCATCATTAGACTCTTGATTCCATCTGCTATGGCAGAATTAAAACCCAGGTCCCAGAATGTTGCCTGGGTCTCTGGATTAATAGTCTAGTGCCTTTCCGCCCCCATTATATATTTATAAAGCACCTCTCAAACAGTGAAACACCTCAATGTATTTTACAGGCGCAATATGGGAAAAGGATTTAGCAGCAAGTAATGTAAATCCTAAGAACATGAGAATTAGAATTGGGAGTAGGTCGTTCAGCCCATTAAACCTATACCACCATTCAATATGATCATGGCTCATCTGATTGCAGCCTTTGACAAGATGACAAAAAGATTGCCAAAAAGGTAGGCTTTTTGAGGAGCATCTTGAAGAAAAGAAAAAGGAGAAGAGAGGTAGAGAGTTTTAGGGAAGGAGTTCCAGAGTTCAGGACCTTTGCAGATGAAGGCACGGGTACCCATGGTCTTCTCAAGAGGTCAGAATGTCAATGAAATCTGTACCATGAGGCACTGACACATAATATATAGCGAGGAGGCTGCAATCAAAAGACTTAAAATTCATGTTTCTGTGCAGGAAGTATCAAGTACTGGTTGACAGAAGTACTCTGGCTTGAATGTTACATGTGTTGAGTTGCAGGTCTTAATAATGCTTCAATCAGGCAGTAACACGTAAGATCTAAGTAATTCCATATGAAATGAAGTACCAGAGAACTAGTTATATTGTGCAGATATCAACTGCCTTTTAATGCCTGGAAAGTAGGTGGTATTGGCAATAACCAGCAAACAGATATTGAGGACATGCAAAAAAAAGGTTGAGAAAGAAAGTAGGACAGAAAAAGGGAAATGGGGTTACAAAAACAACATTAAGAAAAGGTACAATATATGTGCCACAGGATTCCAGAATGTCATCCAACTTGTTGAGCTTATTTGAGGTTGTATCACAATCCCATATGCTGCCACTGGTGAAGGAGGAGCGCTCCGAAAGTTTGTGATTGCAAATAAACTTGTTGAACTAAACTATAACTTGGTGTCATGTGACTTTTGACTTTGTCCACCCCAGTCCAACACTCACATCGACATCATCCCACTGGCGAGCTGTGTTTGATTGAGGTTATGCCTCAGATAAAGATGCTGCTGGGGGCACAGGATCAGGCGGTCACTCCCATAATGTCATGTCTAAGTTGAATTACTGCAAAATAAACTGCAACCAACGAATCAGTGAGTGGCTGCACAATGACACTCAAATGTGATGGACACTAATAGATGATTCTGTTTGTAAAATCAGACAGTGGTTACCTAGACAATGATTAACTATCAAAGTATAAGTTAAATTTGATATGTGAAAATTCTGGGAATATATCTCAACATCAGGCAGCTGTTCTTTTTATTTGTACAACAGCACATGTGGGAGCCATTGGTTAGGTCAGCGTATGTTGCCCATCCCTAATTGCCATGGAAAAGGTGATAGTGTGCTGCCCTCATGAGCTGCTGCTGTTCCCGTGGTGTAGGGATATAAACCTATGAATGAACAACAGTAGGCCACTTGGCCCTTTGAGAGTGTTCCCCCATTCAATAAGATCATGGCTGATCTGATTTTAACCTCAACTCTTCATTCCTGCATATTTCACTGATAATTTTGATCCCCTCAGGAATCAAGAATCTATCTATTTCTACTTTAAAAATATTTAAAGATTTTGCATCCACTGTCTTTTGAGGAAGGGAATTCCAAAGATTCTCAATCCTCAGGGAGGATTTTTTCCATATCACTGATTTAAATGGGTGACCCCTCACTTTTAAACTGTGACCCCTTACTCTAGATTCTCTCACAAGAGATTCACACAATATCCACCTGCTCAAGGCCCCTCAGAAGGATCTTATGTGCTTCAATGAAGTCCCTTTGACTCTTCTAAACTCCTGACAACACAGGCCTAACCTTTCCTCATAAGGCTATCTGCTCATTCCAGGTATTAGTCTAGTAAATCTTCCCTGCGCAGTTTCCAATACATTAACATCCTTCTATACGCATGGTGACCAGTACTTATACCATAATCTGGATGCAGTCTCACTAAAGTCCTCTATAACTGAAGCATAACCTCCCTAATCTTGCATTAAATTTCCCTTGAAATAAAACATAATATTCTATTAGCTTTCCTAATCACTTGCTGTACCTGTGTACCAACCCTCCTTGATTCATGCACAAGCACCCAGGCCTCTCTGCATCTCAGAGCTCTGCAACCTCTCACCAGTTAGATAATATGCATTTTTTTGCTGTTTCTGCCAAAATGGATAACTTCCCACTTTCCCACATTATACTCCAGTTACCACTTCTTTGTCCACTCACTTAACATATCTGTATTGCTTTGTAAGATCACCACAGCACATGCTACATAACTGTGACACAATTTTGACTGCTGTATTCTTGATGTACTACACTTCAAAAGTATTTCATTGACTGATTTTTTAAATGTCTTGAGCGTAACAGCCTTCTGAATGTAAAAATATAATTGCATATTATATGTAACACTTTTCGCTAATAATACGCAAGATGCCGTCTTCACCAATAAGAATTACAAATCTTACATAATTCAAGGCTTAAATACTTCATATGGGGCTCCATTTCATGGATAGTGTGGTTACTTTATATTTGCACAACTTGAAGCTAACGTTTATAAATAAATGATGCAGTTCCGAAAATTATAAATCATAATTGCTTTAGCTTTGTTTTCTTGTTAGATTGAGCCAAGAAGGTCCATGTGGGAAGTAAGTGGGAGTAGAAAAATTAATTTTCCAAATAAAAGACCACATTGTTCTAGCCTTATTTTTAAGATCGGTTTTGCTTTCGGTAATCTAACCAGGCTGCGACTTAAGTATTTTTGCACACTGGAATACTTTTTCCACTAATGCTGCAGCATTTTTCCTTTGTGTGGGATGCCTAGAAGTGAACTTTGTACATCTCTACTTCCGTGAATTTAAGTGACTTTTGGGTGAGTTCATTGCTTTTTGAAATGCTGAACTCGTACGTTTTACAACCAAAAAACTATTGAGCTCGCTCTCCTCCCCAAAAGAAAATGGTGCGGGTTTCTTTTTATTCCCATGCATCGTCTTTTGTGTTTGCAAAACTCGGGTCTTTACTGTTTACTTTAGAAAGTTAAAAACTCAATCGCGAAGAATGCAAGTTTGGTGGGAAAGGGAAGGGAGAAATTTATTGCAATTCTGTCCCCAATGCAGAAACGTATATGAAATTCACGAACGTAAAAGTCCAAATAAATAAAAGGATGTTATACATATGGTGGAGAGTCTCATTGCAGCTGGAGTAATAAAGTTGCTTTGCTGAGCTACTACTTGCTGCCTCTGTGGTTCCAGCGATCCTTGACCACAAGGTGTTGTGGCCACGGCACCTAGCCAGTATCCTTCCGCGGGGTTCCGGGCCTGGGTAAGGGAGTAGTAGAAAAGAAATGGGGGTGGGGATAGGGAAAAATAGATTTTATCAACAGCCACAAATCAGATCAAACATAACCCAACTCCAGACTGTGCTGTAAAATTTTAAATTTAAAATAGGTTTATGCGTTGTCTGTGTGTGATAAAGGCCGGAGAAACGTTAAGTTATTGTTATTATTATTCCGGACACCCCCCTTTTCTCCTTCCTTTTGCCAGGTGTGGGCTGGAAAGTTACGCACTACATTCCGCAGGCGGAGGGGCAGCACCGTGTCGCTGCCACTTTATAAGGAGACGTTGCTGCCGGTCGCCATTTTGGTCGGAGTCGCTGGCGGCGGCGGCGGTTGGAAAGCGGGAGACGGAGGAGGAGTGTGAGAGAGTGAGTGTATGTGAAAGGGAAAGGCGGCGGGGAGGGGGGGGCGCGGTGGTGGGAAGAGCTGCTATCGGAGCGACCCGGAGGAAGAGCAAAGACAATTTTTAAAAAATACATAAAGTAGTCAAGAGTTCACCGTCACCCTCACGATCACTCTCGAAGCCGCGGAGAGGAGTTGGAGTGGCCGCTGCTTCCCGACTTTAGAGGTGCCCGTCCTTCAGCGACGGTGGGTGAGAAAGAGCCCGGCCTTCTCCGGCCCTTCCCTTGGGGTGGGGGTGTAGGATGGTTTAGAGGTTGTTCTCGAGGTGGGGAGTGAGGAGGGGCTGAGTTTCCAGATCCTCCCGTTTTCAGAATTAAAAGATCAAAAAGTCGATTAACTCCCGAACAACGTGGCATCGGGGGAAGGGCGGGTGTTTATTATCGGGAGAAAAGGGGTTGGAGTTTACCCCAGAAAGGGGGAGAGAGGAGGGGGGTAGCTTCTCCCCCCGGGGGAGCTTTCAACCCCCGGCGGGGTGGCGAAAAGAGAGGAGGGGGCAACTTCTCCCTCGTGGGGGTGAGAACCCCCAGAGCTGGAAGGAGTTTCTCCCCCACAGAGGAGAGGGGTTTACCCCAAATCGGGGGAGGAGAGAGGATGGGGTTTCAGCCAGAGAGTGGAGACAAGGTCGGTGTGGGGATGCTTAGCCTGACGGGGGGAGAATTGAAAAGGTGGTCTTTAGTGTGAGGGGCATAAGTAGGGGAAATTTACCCCAATAGGGGGCAGAAGTGAGATATAGGGGTTGTTTACCCTGAGTGGGTGGGAGAGAAGAGGGTTTGTAACCATGGAGTTTTCTGCTTATTGCTGTGGGAAGGGGCGGGAGTGGTGTTCACTGGGGGTGGGGGAGAGAGAGAGACACACACAGTCTTTACCCTGAAGGTTGAGGGAAAAATGTGTTTTTAAATCCCAATGTGGATGTGGCGGGATGGGTTTCTACTTTGGGGGAGGGCAGGTGTTTACATGTAATGAAGGGCTGCTTCTCCACTCTGGACAGGGGAGATGGGAGGGTGTTCATCCTCGGGTTAAGAAGTTTGGAAGGAGAGGGGCGGCCAGTGTTTTCCTGGCTTCATGGGTATAAGACAGCATGTACCAGGGTTACAAAGGTTGTAGAGTTAACTCTTTACCCCAGGTTGTAAAAGTGCATGTGTAAATTACAGGAATGTGGGAAGGTGAATGCCTTAACTGGGTGAAACTATAAAGTGGGTTTACATTGGTGAAGTGATTTTGTTTTCTAAATTGGCAGCATGCAGTTTGACACCCAAACTTCGAGCGTGCAAGTAAATGCTGAGGTGGTTGAGAAATTGTCTGGAATCTTGAGCAGTATTTGTTGAAAATTGGTGAAATGGGACAAAACTTGCTCATTAACAACCAAATGAGTAGGTGACTCATACAGCAGTCTGGGATTTGCATTTTGATATTTTTGCTGATAAATGCTTTGTCATAGACAAATAGAGATCTGTTTTTATACTAGTATGTAATTTTTAAACAGTGGATTATCTATTAACCTCACAATGAGGAAAGGCGCATACATGCACAAATTCATTTTGATAAATCGAGCAAGTTTAAAGTATCCATTTTCTTCCAGAATAATTCCTTCTCGTGATATGGGCTTTTGCCGCATGTTTGATACCATTTGCAGAGTACATAAGTTTAGTGTGGCCATGACTGTGACAATTGTGGGTTATTTTTCTAGTCTCTTTCCTACATTCTGCTTCTGTGAATGTTGATTTACGTGTTGTCAGATCTGTTGCCTGCATTTTATGCTTGTGTAAATCTCAAATCTTAGTATCGATAGTTACAAATCTGCTGTATTCGTTGTAGTTGGTTTCTGAATATTTGGATGGTTTGCAAGTTTGTTTTCCCTCTATATAGTGCATTAATTGCAGTTTCAAATGAAAGTGGGGGGTGGGGGAGGAGAAGTAGAAGCAGGAATCTTGTACTGTTGGTAGACTTGAAATGTGAAGTTGAGGCACTTCCATTTTGAGTGGAAGGAGAAGCATGATGGTGCAGTATCAAACAATTTGTCTGAAATTTCATTGTATTTAACTTAGAAAATAAAATGTGAAGTGGTTTGGACCAACTGGTTTTTCATATGTGACCAACCAGATGTTTTTAGCACATGATAATATGACCAATGTGTTCATCTTCTGGGAAAATGGATACAATCTCAGAATTCCATCTCTGAAATCCAGTTCTAGTATCTCATAATAAAAACAAAATTTCCTGTAGTCACAAAAGATCTGTGGTCATGATTTGAGGTTTGTATTGCAATACATGCTTTGCACTTTAAACTATTGACTAAACTTAAAGGCTGTTCTGTTTGAGTTTCTACACTGGTTATTTATGGGTTTAATGTATTTTGGTGTCATTGGTGTTGGTGACTTGTAGCTGCTTTATTTTACACTATTATGAGCATGAGAATTCATTCAGTGGATTTTTGGTGTCTACTGTTGTTTTGCACTCCGAAGCCGAAGAATCATTGAATTACATAAATGTTGCATTCCAATGACTGATTTCTTTTATTGTTGTCTGATTATGAAATTGAGAGAGCTGTTGAAAATGAGTTGTTTCTTGAATAATTAGTGTTCTCATAGTTTCACCGGAAGTGGTGATGCTGCGTGAATTTTATTGTTCTGGTATACAGTGTACATTTTTGAAAGTTGCATTTTATTGCAGCTGTTTTGTTTGCACTAAACAGTGCAGCAGAAAGGAATTTAAAGATGTTAAGTTAGCATTTGTATTTTGATAATTATTCCCTTATCTCTCCTTTCGTGAACATTGTGGCTCCAGTTGGACTGTGGTTTGAAGGCTGCTGGCCACCAATCATCACAGTATTGTACTGAATTACTCTGTAATTGTAAACAATAGGGGGAGCAGAGAAGGATTTGTCAGTTGCACTAACCCCTCCCTGTGCATATGGAAAGCAAGCTGGAGTCCTCGACTGCCCTGTTTTGCTTCCTTGTGAATTGTGCTGAGTGTCACTTATGTGGTATACTGTTCAGTGTGGTTTTGTACTACATATGTAGTGTATTTTCCATTAATGAGTGTTTACTATAATATATCTGCTGTATATTCAGAAAAAATTTAGAATTAGAAAAGTATTAGAATTGAAAAAGTTTAGTGTTTTTTGCTGTGGCCTTAACTACTTGTTTTATACTAGAGTTTAATATGTTTCAAACGTTCTCACTAGTGTACAAAGTTTGAAGTAGCTCCGTTAATGCAGAAAAAAATGTTGCTTTACTGGAGTTCAGGTAGTGATTAACCATGCCTGCCGCATGGTTTTTAAAATCAGCTTACCTTTTGCTAAGTCTTGGGCAGCTGTGACAACTGGCTTTGAGGAAAGGTGTTTAGACGCTGAAGAGAGTTGAGAAAATCTTGTGTACGTTTAAATGTATCACTTAATTCCTGCACCCCACCAGATTATTCCAAACTGTTCATACAAATAATTCATTTTTAAGATTCTAGCCTACTGTAAAATAAACAAGACCCCTGTGGATTTTTTTTAACCAGAATAAAGGAAGCTACATTTGATTGGTTGAGTCAACCTCTTCCTGTTTAAATGCTTGGAAGGAACTATTATAACTGGATTTGAAGATGGGAATTATTGAATGAAACAGTTGTTGAAACAAAAGATGTTATTGCACCTAGGAAAACTAGATTATTTAAAGTGTCTTTCTTTGGGGGGGAAATGTTAAAATGTCCTTTTGCCTGTTGCAGTGGTCGAGTTAGGTGATAGATTTCAAGGCAACATTTGCTCAATTGAACATTCTTATAACTTGTAGTTGTGGAATCTTGGCACATGCCAACTGAATACACTGTTTGCCTGCATATAGAACAAAGTACCGGTTTGTGGTATGAGCAAAAAGATGAAAATGTTGAAAATAGAAAACAGGATATGTTGGAACTCTTTTCAATTTAGTAAGCATTTGTGGAGAGAATAGATGTGTTGATGCTTCACCTTTTGGATTGTTTATTATTCAGAACGTGTGACCTTAAGCCTAAAACGTAAGCCTGCACACGTTGAGTATTTGCACTTTTGTATAACCCCTTTCATTTCTTGAAGTTCCAAATGCTTTGCAGCCAAACTTTTTTGAATGAGGCAATATAATTGGAGGAAAGCATACAATTATTTGAATTTGATTTTAACTGCAGCAGCATGAATGACCAATGTTTGAGATATTTTGAGGGGTTTTTAAAGCAAGCTTAAGTTTTCAGACAATAGAATATAAACTTTGTAGATTAATTGTAACTTGCCTGTTTTAATAATGAATTCTGGTACCCTTCATAATGGGAAGGAAGCTTGTTTATTTGTGCCAGCAATGTAAATATGACACATAATTGCTTAAACTATGGAAGCTATGTGGAATATTTTGACGTGAAGCTGGATTATTAGGCTGGGAATTGGTGCCGCCAGTCTTGCAGCAGCTGAAAAACTCAGTAACATCTCCTTGGCCAAAACAAGGCCATCATTCTCAGTGAACATACCTAAAACATTAGCCCATTTCCTAGTTGGAAGCTGATGTACCAGTATTTCTAGCATTTAGTTTATTTCCTTTATGTATACAATGATGTTTATGATGTGTATGTCAGTCTAACTGTGGTAATTTTGAGCATTTGGTGTGAACGGAATGGCTGAATGTTTTGTTTGTCTCTGGGGAAACGGTTTGGGGAGATAGACTTTCTGGTGTGAAGTTGGCTTGTTGCCCTCTTGCAATGCTCCCTGTTGTCTTCCGTCATTTGATAGAGAAATTGCAAGACTAATTTAAATCCTGTTGCACTATTTGCCATTAAATAACTGGAATAGTGGCATCGTAACATTGTAGAATGAGTCCAACTTTTTGCGGATAGTTGAATTTGATTTTCATTAATTTCAGAAAATAAGACATTGGCACTGGTGATCTGCATTTTCTACTCCCAGCTGCCTTACAGTAGAGCTTTTAATAGATTTCAAATTCATCTGGCTTTCATAATTCATTTTACTAATGGTTCCCTGCTTTGCAATGTGTAAAAAGCTGCAAAATTGGCCTCTTGTACAATGCCTACATTATTTTGAAGAATTTTTAAACTTGTGCCAACACCAGCAAAGGATTGTCTTTAAAGTCGTGGTTCTTGAAATCCATTCAGTATGGCATATTGGAAAGAATGTGGCTGTAGAGTGGTTAGGGTGAGGTGTGTGGAGACGGCTGGTCCTTTGAAGTTTGTCAAATGAATTCCATGTGTGCAAATAGTTGGTGTTAAAACTTTTTATTTTTGTAGCTTGTCATAATTTTTTATATGTAGGGTCTGGGAACTCAAAAGCTTGAAGGTGCTCTTAAGACTCTGGAATGCATTAAAACAGGGTGTTGGTTCTTGGGCTAATATGAGGCATTGGTGAGAGACATGGCTGGGTGACAGTTACTGGAAAGTTCTATGTTGTGCTGAACGAAAAAAAACTTAACTCGAAATGCCCAGAAAATAATTAATGTGGGTGCATCTGGGATGCACTTAACTGATGTGATTTTATTAAAGTGATTCAACACAGAAGGCTGTAGTTTGGCCCATTGTGCCAATGCTGGCTGTATTGAATGTCAGTTGAATGTATTAATAATTATAACTCTGCCTCTACTTGTAAGCCAGTCCTCCTGCACCAAGGGTAGGATGAGGGATCTGCTCTGATAAATGTCCAAGCATGTGTCCTGGTTCGAGAGCATCAAGGGTTGCAAAATTTAAACTTAAACTTCCATTAATTTACTGCCAATGCCAACAGTTCTTAATTCTGGTTTTAGAATTAAACACCAGTGAGTCAAGTAACTGAAAATTGCTTTCCAAATGTTCCGGTTCGAAAAGTGAAACAATGCAATAAGATCGATAGCATGAAAATAGATGAACTATGTAGAAAGTGTGACACGTGGACAATAAGTTGGATGTTTCTGTGCTGTATGGTACTTCAGTTACTGTACAACGTGATCCAAAAGCTGGTTTCAATGTTACATCCTGTTCAGAAGCATTGGCCTGTTATTGGCATCTCCCTAAGACATAAGGGAGGAATGATTTAGGAGCTTTTGGGAAGGGAGGGGGCTGGCAAAGAAGCGGGCAATAGATGGAAAGGAAGCATCTATCTGGCTGAGAGTTTGTATCCTCAGTGACACTGACTTGCACAAAAATTATAATTGAATTATTTTTCAGTAAGGTTGATATCTTGCAAGTAGCATTGCAGGTAGACGGTGTTGAAAAAGGCATTTGATGCACTTGCCCTCACTGGTCAGAGCATTGAGTTTAGGAGTTGGGGTGTCATGTTGTGGCTGTATTTGATATTGGTGCCACTTTTGGGGTACTGTGTACAGTTCTGCCCATCCTGCAATGGGAAGGATGTTATTAAATTGTAAAGGGGGCAGAAATGATTTACAAGGATGTTACTGGGACTGGAGGGTTTGAGTTATAAAGACAGGCTGGGACTACATTCCCCTGGACATTGGGAGATTGAGAGGTCACTTCTGAGGCCCTTAAATTGTGGGTGTTGATAAGGTGACAAACAGTGGCCTTTTCCCTGGGGAAGAGGAGTTCAAAACTAGAGAGCATAGATTTAAGATGAGAGGGGAAAGATTTAAGAGACCCGAGGGGCAACTTCTTCACACGGGGTTATATGGAGTGAACTGCCAGAGAGAGTGATGGGGGGATATACAGTTACAACATTTAAAAGACATTTGGACAGGTACATAAATAGAAAAAGACTGACGGGTCTGTTTCCAGGCTGTACGACTATGGTTGCAGGCACTAGGGGTATCCATGCTTTTGTTTGTTTTGCCAATTTAAATATGCCTGTTCTGAAGGAGCATGGTAATATTCGACTGACTTCATTGAAAGCTGCAAGACCATGTTGTGTGGTTACTTGGAAATCCATTTCTAGGTTATGTAGCATGACACCGTGAGCAGACTACTTTCCGGGGAGTGACTGTTACTGTGCCTTAATGTGGACTCGGTCAGGAATGTTGCCACTGGGATTGCTGCATGCCTACACTTGGGGAAATTCAGTGTCATTGTGCATTTCCAGGTTAGTTCTGATCTGTCAGATGCATAGTAAAGATTCTGAAATCTTCAGAATGGATTTCTTGTTGTACATTATTTTTCTATATCTTGCTTGCTGTGCCTGCACCTGAATGTCAGCAAGTGGCACATAGAATGTTTCTGTATTTTGGGCCCATATCCACGAGTTTAGGTCTTTGAGACTGCTCAAGGAGAAGTTCTAAAATTACACAGCAGGAATTATCGTCAAGGCCAGTAATCAAATCTAGGAATCCTCAATAGGCTTGGGCCCACCAATGCCCTCGCATTGCAGGAGTCCTGCTTAGGGGCCACCATTGCTCCGACTGCATTTCAGGAGTACCACACCAGGCCTACCATGCTGCAACTGCTGCTCCTGTCAACCTACTAGACATGCGACACTGTGCCTACTTCCATCACTGCAGCTGAAGCCCGACATCTGGATTCTGACGGTGAATGCGAATGCTGCCTTTTCCACCGACTGTCATCTTGAAACCCAAGCTGCTGCCTTGAGCCCTGTGCTGGTGGATCCACCAACATTGAAGTCACCATGCTCTGGCATCATCTCTTGCTGCTGTTGTGAGCACTGTCCCTGAGGTACTGATTCTTGTCACCAATGCTGCACGTGCTTGGGTGGCTGAGTTTGCTCTGACCCTGCCAAAGACAGCAGAAAGGCTTTTAAAGAGAAAAGAAAAAGCAAAAAGTGAAAAGTAAAATAAAAAAATGCAAAAAGCATTTGGTAGCGGATGAGTCCCAGTCCCAGGTTTGCTATGGATATGGAGTCACATGTAAGCCAGACTGGGTAAGGGTGTCAGTTTCCTTCCCGAAAGGACGTCTATAAGTTCTCCTCCAATCCCCTCACCATCCTGACTTGAAAATATGTTGCATTTCCTTCAAAGGTGCGGGGTCAAAATCCTGGACCTCCCTTTCCAACAGCCTGGGTCTACCTGCATCAAGTAGACTGCAGTGCTTTGAGATGGCAGGTCACTGCCACCTCAAGGGCAGCAAGAGCTGGGCAACGAATGAAAGCCGAGTCAGCTGCGTCCACATCCCGAATACAGCGTTAAAAGTTCTTGAAGGGATCAAATAGCACCAAAGCTGTGAAGAGTGCGCTATTGGGGCAGCTGACCTAAGAGGTGAGTTGAAATGAGCTGAATTTGTCGGGAGATCTGGAGCTTGGGAACAAAACATTTGAAATCATGGCTGCCAGTGATAGAGTAATTGATATCTGCGATGTGCAAGAGACCAGTATTGGAGGAGTGCAGATATCTTGGGTTGTAGAACTAGTGTGGTCAGAAATAAAATACTTGTAATGGCCTCATGATGTTTGTGTTGATTGCTGGTGTTTATTTCCAATCCGTCACATGTCATGGATCAGCATCGCTGGTTCTCTTGGAAAAACTTGCATCTAATGTGGAATTTTGACCAGAAGACTCTAGCTTTGATTCCTCGTCTGTGCTGAGTTAGGGGGCATCAACCAGTAGCTGACTCCTAAGTCAACAGAAAAATTGGCCAACCCTTTCCTGGTCATATTAATGTTGGAATTTTCTTTTGGCTCTAGTGAGTGACGACAGAATCATTCCTGTAAGTTGTACAACCTCTGCTGTCTGGGTTCATGTGAAAAGAACGGCAAATTGCTAGGAGGCTAGGATGTTCAAAGAATCATGTTCTGTACGAATAAATGCCTTCTCGAGGGGAAGGAAATTGTTTGGAAGATGCTTTGAGTATTAATCTTGTGAAGACTGATTGCATTCAAGAAAATATCATAAAGTAGAAAGCCATTATGGCATTTGAGTGTGGCATAAGTGATTTAAGAATCTTGGATGCAGTGTCACTAGAATTTTAATATGTCAATTCATCCTTAAAGCGGAATGCTGTAGTTGTAACTGATTAATTTGGAGCAGAAATATGGGAAGGATAAAATGACGTTAGACCTTAATACAGATCTCTATTTCTGTTCAGTGTTTCGTTTTAACCTTAATTTTATTGGGCTCTTTAATGCCGTTCCATTTTCTATGTGAGCCCCTTTCCAGCTTGTTATATGACCTCTGTTTTAGTGGGTTTTTTGCATTGAAATCCGATCCAACTTTGACTTTGCGCAGATCTGTCTAGTTGTTTGAAATAGTCTTTTATGTACACTTTAAAATTTATCTACCATAACATGGACTTAATGTTACCAACTTGTAGACGCACTCCATTGTGCAGTGGCCTTGCAAGTTAAAAGTTTTTAGAAAACAAGGTTGTGTATTCTAAGTAATTAAACAAACCATTATTTCAAACTCCATGTTACTTCTAAATATTGCATTATCTTTTGAGAACAGAATTGTATTTTTAAGGAAATTCTTGCATCTCAAATGGGTCATTCTTGTTATGAATAGAAAACTAAAGATTCTGCAGATAGCTATTAAAGCTGGGTGCTTTGGGTTTTTAAAGAAAAACTCTTCTGATTCAGGGTACTTTCTGTTTCTCCCTAAATGTTCAATATCACAGTGTATCAGAACTATCAACAATTACAATTTAATCTGTTTAATTTGTAGGCCTTGATTTAAATACATTTACTGCATGTTTGTTCTGTTGCGTGGAATTATGTAGAATTTAAGAAAAGCTATTGGTTTATTGTGTGTACCGATGATGCTGGAACTCTTCTGATTGTAGATATGAGTAACTGTCTTTATATTTTTAAAATCTTTTTTAAAAAAAAACTTCCCATTTCCAAGTTCCTTGTTTTCAGTGCTTTTCTCCGGTAATACTGGTAGCTTGTTTCCATTGTTGATTGCTTTCAAACATTGGTCCATGTTAATAATGTAATGTTTTTCATTTGCCTCTTTTAAAAGCTTTTTTAAAACAACATTTGTCTTGCTTTTCTGCCGTATGCTTCTGTGCTTTACTTAGCTGACCAGGTATCCTTGTCTGACTATCAAATAAGGGAGAACTCTGCTCCACTCCCCTGTCCCTTACCAAAACCCACATTGCTCTTTAACAGCGCAGAAGCAGGTGACAGAGACAAAAAATTGAGGCTATTTGCAAGCTAGGGATTGCATGTTTGGAAAGCAATGGCAACGAAGACATGCATCAAATTACTTGGCAGGTACAATCAGAATTTTATATTTTACTTACCATTTTGTTCTTAATTAGTCTTTTTAAGTAGGTAACAGAATGCTTTGGATAATGTACGTAATACTTCCATAATGCAATTTTCAGTTTTCTGGCAATTCATGTTAATATCAATTATAGAAAATAGCTGTGATTAAGTTTGAAAACCCAAGTTTATTCCCTAAATCTGCCTCGGTTTTGATTTCAGAGCTTTTTTTGTAGCCCTACTGATTGGAAATCTAAAATGCATATTAATGTCCAGCTATACTTGCTAAGATTAAATATATTGACTTCTGCGTAGCCTGTTTATAAGTTTTTGTTTTTGTGGGTTTTGCAGTAGATAGTGCTTAAGTCCTTTAGAATGGAAAAGTTTTCCAATGACCTAAAATGAAATTAAGCTGGTACTTTTTCCATTGAGTTCATCTTGAGGTCACTGGGGCCCTAGTTGGGCTTGCTTTGGCATGACTGAGCTGCTAGCATTGTAATGTGATTCAGATTAATTACAGTAGGGTAATTGGTTTTCTGTAACCTGATTGGCTAAACCTGTGGACTGCATAGTACTTTTTGACATGGTTTTGGAATAATTGCTTATGCAGCAAAGAATCTTCAATGTATGGCCTCTGCTACTATGGATTTTCATTTCTTGCTAGACAGTCATTTTGACTCTTGAGCATGAATACATGGAGATGTATTTGTGAAGTGTGTGCAAAAAACATCTTGTCGATGTGTATGTTGCACTGTTCTACAATAGCAGAAGTATATCTTTTCTGATAATGGCTTGAATTTGTTGGTTTTTCCACCTTGGCACCAATGTCACGTGAAGGGCATATTATGAATTGTATTAATGCTTGATTCTAACTGGTACTGGCTGTCTGATTCTTTCGGGAAGGTGAGTGGACGTGTAACCCTGGAGCTCCTGTCTTCTCCCTCTCTTCCTGAGGAAGATGACTAATCTGGGCCGGACACTATTCTGCCTGCAGCTTTTTTGTGGCACTTCCTTTTGTTTGTCTGTGGAATGAATTACCAAACTTCAGACTTCACGTGACTTTATTCAGAGAGTAGATGTATTTGCTGTACATATGTAGGAAAATTTAATTCAGTACTGTGGTGATTTGTTTGCTACTAAAGCTCCAATACCAGAGCAATGTTTAATGTTCTGTGGAAAGGCATAATTATAGCTGGGAATTTATTTTGGAAGTTGTAAGCTTTTTATTTTTGAGATAAATTGAATACATAAATCCCACTCTTCAGTACGTCTATGACTAAGGTCTCCTGAATAGGCAGTGATTTTGAATGGGTGACTGCTTGTTGTAGAGGGAGTGAAGAGATCTTGAAATGAAATCTTGTAAATTGGTCTTGTGTAGAGTGACTCATGTGGGTGTGGAGGAATTATGTGCTGCAAAGTTCGAAACTGTTCAAAGTGAAACCAGATAAAGTTTCATCAACTGAAGAATCTAAATCTGACCATTATTTTGTTCAATAAAAGTAAACTCCAGGGCAACAGTGAGTAAGGACTTTCGACTACAGCAGAGGTGGTAGAATAATAGCTAGTGTACCCTGTGTTCTTGTGATGAAGTAATTGTGCTTTCTAATCAATACTGGCTCTCGGTGATATCACCTGATCATGTTGTCTGTCTTGCCATGTATACTGATGCCATCCAACTATCCCTCAACATCACCACTCAATCCTTTGATATCTGTAAATTACCAAACTGTGTGCTCTGTATCCAGAGCCAGATGAGCAGAAATTTCCACCCAACTAAACATTAGGAAGATCAAAGGTATTCTTTTTAGTTCCATCTATTAATTCTGTTCCCTACTACTATTGTCATCCTTATTTCTAGCAACTGTGAAGCTGAACCAGCGTAAGATTGGTCTAATACTTGGCCTCTAAGAGCTTCTGACCATATGTTCATGCCATCGCTATGATTAGTTGTTTCCACCTCTAATATTGCCTCATTCTGCTCTGCTGCTTGACTCCCCTGTTGAAACTTATAGTTGTTTTTCTCCTGCAGTCGTGACGATTCCAGTTGAACTGCTGGCTGCCTCCCAAATCCGTCCATAAAACTTGAGATCTTCAACACTCTACCTGTGTCCATTAACCCTGGTTTTCCTGAATTGATTGCTGGTTGACCAATACCTTGATTCTGCTTTCGAGTCCCACCAAGGCTGTAATGCTTACCTCATAACTTAGTTTTGATTGCCACACCATTACAAGACAAGCCATCAGCTGCCAAGGACTTCAGCTGTGAGATTTCTGCAGTAAGCATCTTTGCCTCTCTTACTCCCTTTCCTACTTTAAGACACTCCTTAAAAGCTCCTTACTCAACGTTGTTATTGTTCATCTGCCCTTTTCTGTATGAAATTTTTATAGCACTCCACTGTAACCTCTAGGGATGTTTAACTATGTAAAAAAGTGTTGTATAAATGGAAACTATCGTATCAGTGAGGCCAGCGTGATTAGCAATTACAAATAAAAGTACAGAAAAGCAACAGCCTCATTCTCTAAGTCTACCTTATACTTTAAGTGTTTTGTAATTTAATTATTTTTGTGAATTGGC